TTTGGCATAACTGCCGCCAAGTTTACATTTATTTGTACTCCATTTGAAAAACAAGCCATCTATAGTTTCAATGCATCTCCTTTCTTTAGCAAGAAGAGCAAATCCACCTGCTGGTGTCTTCCCACTCCGTACCCCCAACTCTTCCTTCCCATAGTTTTGGGAGAAAACATAACATTTCTCACACCTGCATCAGCAGCAAGCCAAAAAAGTGGGGTCTGGTTTTATTAAATACATTTCTCACCAACTCTACCAATAGCTGAACCCACTGATGCAAGGGCCCATAGTATCAAAACTATTTATTACCTTGCAGTCATCAGCAACATAGCCTGTAGACATCTGTCTGCTGCTTCTGAAGTGCAAGAGAAGCTCTTTTACTGAGTTCTTCACACGAACCCCCTGGAAAGGTCCTTTGTGCTGCCTTCCTCCCCCCATGTGGTGTTCAACTGTGGAGACACAAAATAAAATTTAAAGGTGCTCAAATAAACGTTTAAAAAAAGCCCAAACAAACAAACAGCAAACAAGCAAATTGGAATTACCAGGAATCAAAAAAACCAACAGAAAAACAATCACCAAAAATTCTCTAATTCCATCTGAGAATGCAGGCAGTCGTTCAACACAAGAATTGATTACAGAGACCCATGCTGGCCAGCTATTAAGGGTTTCAGAAGCACATCAATTTGAATTTCATCTCTTTTGACTCTCCCTCATCCCTCCCCCCCTTATCAACTCTTGTTGGTTAATACACTGGAAGCAATAAAATGCAAGTGGTACGCATATGCAAAAGCATGATACAAAAATATTAGAATGTTTTTTGCCTAATGCTGGGCCAATAATTTCCAGAATTACTTGTGCTTGGTGTTTCCATAGGGCTTGAAAATTTCACTTTAAAGAAGAAAACTTGCTTTCTTTAAAAAGACAAGCAGAATACTCTGTGAGACCTCTCAGCCTCTTTTAAAAAAATCAGATCAATTTTAAAGCTGTAAAAGCAGAAGTGAAAGATAGGAAATGATGACCTAACACACCCCATTTGAATAGGGAAGTAATGTGATAAGGAAAGTACAGAGTTTAGGAGACAAAAACTATATACAATTATACACAAATATATCAACCCTCCCAGAAAAGGAAAAAGCCAGATGCTTGATTTTTATTTATTTATTTTTAAATACAGGAAATGAGATCAGTGATCTGGTCTCAAGTTTCCCTTGGCCATCAGCTGGGATTTTTACCTGGAGAAAAAGAAATACAGTTCCCGAGTCAAGATCCACGTCAATGGGAGTCAATCTCTGGGTTTCAATAGACTTCATGGTAACAACACTCCAGCAGACCCAGCCTTCCCAACCCAGAAAATGAGCCAGGCTCTTAAGAGCCTCTGAAGTAGAAAACAGGCTTATGACTCACAAAAAGTTTAAGAGCCATTTTTGAGACACTAAGAACAACAAATGATTAACTCGATGTTTATATGTGAAAACATTATCTTTCCGTAAACAAGCCTCTCATGGAAAAATAAACCCAAACAGACAGAAAGGAAAAAACAAAGGAGAGAGGGGGAGGCAGTGCCTAGTTACATAAACAATAGTATATTATTTAAGGGCAGGAGAAGGAGGAACAAGGGAGAGAGTTAAAGACCCAAATAACCAATGCAAATTTATCAAATGGTTTTGGAATAGGTCCTTGTGCTGAACTAGCAAACACTTTCAATGGCATGCTTTAGAGGTAGGCTCTTTCCAGACTGCACTGACACCCCACTACATAAAGGAGCATAACCTTTTTAGACTCAAGACCCCACTCTACTCCTGCCCCCAGGAAAATGCCAGCTCTTAAGTTCTCTTTCGTTTTCTTTAACTATAGAAAAATACTAGAGCAATTCTGCTGCAAAGAACGCCGAAACACAACAGCAGGGCAGAACAGTCTGAACACAATGAATTCTGGGAATTCTGAGAAGTCTCTGGGTTTACCTTGCAAATCCTGTGTGCCCACTTAACAGTGCTAACCGTGTGGCATCCTGCAGCACCCACGCAGGGACCTCCAAGCACCCCAGGTTACGGGAATGCAAACTGAACAGCCTCCTCCTGAAAAGTGCTAAGCATCCATTATGAACAGCCCTGTACCCTCTTCTCCTGCTGGCCGCCGAAGCACCAAAGCCAATGACTACTGCATGACCATACTGGATGCCCCAGGGAACACAAGACCCAGTAAAAAATAAATCAGTAAGCAAAATAAATCAGCCGGGGATCACAAGGGACAAGAGTTCCCCTGGTCAGATCTGGTTGCTCCTCTCAGACTGGGCAACCTCCTGTCCACAGAGGTCCTGAGTACCTTCCAAGACTAGCCCTACCTCTTGCCGCAACGAGCTAGCTCAAACCTAAGGCTGTATCTACCGGAAACTTTGTAGTTCAAATCTTACTCATGGGGAAGCGGGGCTGGTGGTCCACCTCAGTCTGGCTGCCTGAGGCAGGATCACCTCTACCCAAAGCACACCATACAAAGAAACCACCATTTCGGTCAGTGCTTCTCAACCTTTTTTGTACCAGGACCCATTACAGAGGAGCTGGGGTGGGAGGGAAGATACGCCCCACTAGAAAAGACAAGAGCCCCTCCCCTTAAGTTTTAAAAATCATAACCTAAGGCAGCCTCTGACGGGCTCGCCCCTACCCCATGCCAATCCTCTCCTAGGCGCTCTTCCCCAGTCGTGGGGATTCAGCCCCCAAGCACAATAAACCTCTGCCCCCCTCAGCCTCTCGCCCCCCGGACGGGTGGGCCGTGCCCTTACCGGCGCGTCGCTGCCCACCCGCTGCCTCGCAGTCGGAGCCGGAGCCGGAGCCGGGCGAGGCGGGCGCGGAGCGGGCGGGCGAGCAGCTGCCCTCGCTGGAGTGCGGGGACGAGGCATAGAAGCAGGCCAGGTCCAGGGGGCTGCCCGTGCCGCCGCCCACCAGTGCCAGCGCTGCGTGCCCACTCTCCACTAACATCCTGCAGCCGGGTAGAGGCGAGCGGCCGCCGCGCAGCGCCCCTTATAGCCGCGCCCGCGCCGGGGCGGCGCCTGCCGGGAAGAGGCTCCGGCCTCCCGCCCAGCGCCCTGCCCCGCAGCGCCTCCGGGCGGAGCTCGTTTTCGAGCGCCCTGACGCAAGGGAAGGTCTGTGCAGCGCCCTACGCAGCCCCCCCCCCCTTCGCCAGACATCACGAGAATAATAACGATAATAATATATAGGGCAACGGGGGGTGAAGCATGCTCCTTTTCGGCAGCTGCCCGGTTGGCCCGTGCCTTTGTCCGGCCCTGGGGCTAGTCCCGCGTTGCGGGGCCCGTGGGATGCAACCCCAACGTGGGGCACAGCGATATAGGAAAGGGTCACGCACTTTACAAATAGGTTCTCTTAGAAAATGAGGGTTGGCAACGTGTACCAGGGGCATGTGTCCCCACCCCCACAGACAGGGTGGGGGCTGATGCTGCTGGCAGGGCCGGAGGCTGGCGGGAAGTATAGGCGACGCATATGGGGGGCACGTGCCCCCCCAGCAGGGCTGCTGACTTCACGGATTTCATAGACACTAGGGCTGGAAGGGACCTCGAAAGGTCATCGGGTCCAGCCCCCTGCCCAAGGGCAGGAAGTCAGCAGGGGGCAAAGGATCCCAGTAAGATAAGTGTCCAAATGTGAATCCCGGATCACCCCAGGAGTTTGTTTTTTTAAGAAATGTTTCATGTTCCCAGCCAAATTAAGTCCAAGTCCCTGAGTCAGTGCAGAACAATAAGTGACCCTACAACCAGCAAACATCCTCCACCCCCACCAGGGGCTTCAGATATTTCCAGCCTCTTTTGGCAGGCGTCCCACATGCAGGCCCAAGTTTCACCTACTCTCAGGCATATGGCTGCAGGAGCAAGCTAGGGAGGGACCTCCCATTTCCATAAAGCAGGCTTTAAGCCCCAACACTTCAGCAGGTACTGAACTGCACCAGAAGAAAAGTTATCCCCAGGAATGCTTAAGGAAAACTGCCTTCATGGACCCAGATACATGGTGTTTTCCCTGCTGGGTGACCACAGTATCTCCCCGCCAGCAGCGCCTGCAGGAGCTCACCAGCTCTGGCCCCACCAGCGACACCTGCAGGTGCCTTCCCTGACTCAGGAAGTACCAGTCACCCATAGTGGGGAGCTCAGGAGGCAGGGCCCGACACAGGCATGGGTGAACCGGGCGGCTGCCCAGAGCCCGAACAGAGAGGGAACCCCAAAATAGTAATTGTTGTTATTATTATTATTGTTACTTCTAGCAAAGGGGGGCCCCAATACTAAAAGTTTGCCCAGGGCTGCCGGGAGTCTAGGTACAGCGCTGTCAGGGGGTCATCTACCAGTGGTTCTCAACTTTTTTTGTAAACATGGATGGCCGGTGCTCTCCCAGTGCCCCTCGCTCTGGACCCACTGCCCTCTACCCAGCAGTGTGTGGGGCAGGGAGTGGGTGTGTGGATTGGGGGCATAGGGGACCTTGGTTTCCCAAGTTTTTCTCCTTTAAAGGAGAATCCATTTTTAAATTTGTTGATCTATTTTTAAAGTTTGTTCATACCCACTTTTGGTTGTGACCCATGGGTTGGGAAACACTGATCTAGTCCAACCCCCCACTCAAAGCAGGACCATCCCCAACTAGATCCTCACAGCCAAGGCTTTGTCTAACTAGGTGTAAAAGCTCAGCTGAGCCCTCCCATCATGGCTTTCCTCCTCTCCCATGGGACTGTAAGCTTTCACCTCCCTGCTCCTTGACTGGGCTTTGTTCTAGCCTCCAATGCCCAGGTCTCAAGGAATCATAGCACACGAGCAATCAGAGAGAGTTTGGATGGGAAGGGCTCCCAAACAAGGAGCAATGGTCTCAAGTTGCAGCAAGGGAAGCTGAGGTTACCTATGAGGAAAAACTCTCTCACGAGGGCCAGGTACAGACATTACACTTTTACTGGAATAAGGGATCAGGAAACCTGTCTATACCCATAACAGAGCAGAAGTTCATCACACACAGACTGGTATAATAATGATGGCACTCAGTCTAAGATTTGCCCTCGAACCAAAGGGTGAATTGTGTGTTCTGTTTGCTACCAAGTCAAACTACACCACTTACAGAAAACTGCGTAACTTTGATCAATTCTGCCTCAGGCTTGTTGAATGTCTGTTCCTAGCCTAGGAGGGTAGTAAAGCACTGAAACAGGTTACACAGAGAGGCTGTGGACTCTCCATCTGCAGAGGTTCTTAAGACCCAGGTAGACAAATCCCTGGTTGGGATGATCTAGTTGGGGATGATCCTGCCTGAGCTGGACCAGATAAACTCTCTAGTCCTTTAATCTCAGCTGTTAGCCATGCAGAGACCTCCCTACACCCAAGAAGGCCCTGCAGCTGGGCTGATGGGTGGCTTCTTGTCTCCTTCCTGAGCCTCCTATGCCTGGGGCTGCATCCGTCCTGGCAGGCCAGCAGAAATGACACACTCCTGAGCCCCAGAGAAGAAAGGAGACTCAACCCACCCTGCTTCTTGAGCCCTCCATGCTTTCCAACACAGAAAGCAACAGGAATGACACGCTGCCCTCAGTAATTGCACCCTCCCTCCATTGCTGCAGCAATGCCAAGGTTTCATTCACGGAAGCTCATGAGTGCCTTTGAAATCCACCCTTTTTGCCACCCTGTCACGCCAATGAGGGAGCAAACAGGCTCACCCCATCTCCCTCTTCCCATTGAAGCTGCTTTGCAATGAGCATGTCTTACTCACTACCCCATGCAACACAGACCTTTGGATATATCAGTCTGGAATGTGGGCCAAAGCTCACCAAGGAGAGGCATAAGCCCCCCTGGGTGGTGGAGGACACTAGCATATAACTGATTGCTTGGGACATCTAAAAGACAAAACAGGGATGGGAATGAGGGTCATAGGTTCAAAATGAGTGCACTTAGGAGGACTCCAAGCAGAACACACCAGCCCCCAAGTCCAAGGAGCCAGTGGACACTGCCCAGTGAAACTTTCCAGAGACATGACTGGACAAGGGACAGGAAAGTGGCCCTGCAGCCAGAGCTTCCTTTCTGCTTAGGTATATTGCTAGCTTAGCTAAGGCTAGGAGCAGGGTTCAAATTATGGGGGAACTCAGGGAGCCTGAGACCCCCCTTCCCCTGTAAGATTTGAAAATTATAACCTGGGAGGGGTCTTCAATTTTATTAGGTCGTCATGATGGGCAGCCAAATTTTTTTTGTGGACCCCCCCACAAGAGTCAAAGTGTAATTTGAACCCCGGCCAGGAGGAGGTTAACAAGGAGGTCCTGGGACTTGGTGGGGCCATGGATGGGGAGTGCATAGATGAAAAGTGTGGGGAGTAAGTGGCAATTCTTATGTTTTTATGAGGTTTTAAGATTCTTATTAAGTTGACAATGATTTGGGGGGTTTGTCTGTCACGTTCTCAGCACAGGGTGCTAGGTGGACAGCATTCAGAGACAGAAAACGTGAGCATCTAGTCACCACAAACAGGGGTTAGTCATTTCTTTCCATCGTCTTTCGTCTGAGTCAAACTGTAGCAAGTCAAGGCATATCTGAAAGTTATTGTGCATGAGGCTACAGAGAGTTGTATACAATTATAAAATAGCGTTCAGAGAGGATTTTCCTCAGACTGCCACCCCTTTTACCAGTGAGATCTTTTATTGGACTAACTGTAGAGTTTGGAGAGATGTTAGACAAGCTTTTAGGCGCAAAGTTCCTGTCTTCAGGGTCACCTGAAGTATGACCTGAAAAGGGCCCTTTATACCCCAAATCCTGTCAAACATCTCTCTCAGCTATATAGTCGGTCAATAAAAACTATCATGAATAAACCTTACTGCTTGCATATTTCCTGTCCCATCATAGCTACAGCAACATGACAACACTACTACTTCTTTTACTAGACTTTATTTTTTCCTCCTTAGGTTTTTAATAAAAAATACAAATGGGTAAGGTCCCTAAATGTTTTCAATGTTAGGTAAAGATATATACATAAGTTAGGAGGGTAGATAAATAAATGTTTATTACCCAAATTTCTTTTTTTTTCTGTCAGGTAAAGGAGAACAATTTGTTTGGAATTATCTACACCTTTTTCTACCACACCACCAGTCAATTTATACTATATTTATTTATTTTAATTCATCCAATGGTTTTAATTCATAGAGCCAAATCTGGCCAAATCAGCAAAATCTGCATTGCAAAACAAACACAAAAAAACTCCAGCCTTGAACAGAGTTCTCACTCCACTGTCATAAAGAGTAGTCTAGTAAAGTTTAAAATCCCCTCTCTCTAATAACTCGTTCTCACTTGAAAGAGCATTTTCAATTCTATCAGTAAACCTTATGTGCTTAAAGGTTTGCAAAATCAGGACTGAGATTTATAGGTGCAGTATCATGATTTTCTCCTCTTCTCAGAAACATACAGTTCAACTAGACTTCCAGAGACACTTTCCTGATAGTTGGCAGGTATTTTTGTTTTTTTCTTCATCCCAGAGTGTTTGCTTCTCAGAGATCCTATCTCCCCAGAATACTTTTTACGTGCTTGATAACTGACTAATGAACGACTCCTTAAAGCAGCTCTCGGAAAAGTGTTCAAGATCAAATTTTCCATTTACACGGCAGGAAGCCAATTATTATTTACGTATTACTGCAGCTTAACCCAGTTCATTACTTTTTTTTTCCTACTATCACAGCAAATGAGTTTCGCTTGCCTTGTAACAAAAGCCAAAAACTGAGAAGAGTATGTAATTCAAATCATTAGATTAAGTGATGCTGGTCAATGACCTTCTCATTAGCATGACTGAATTTAAAAAAATGAAACCCTTTCAAACAAACAGCTCACTGTTGTTGCTTGTTACCTGGGAGCTTCCTCTTGTCCCAGTCCCAGTACTATGCACAGTAAAAAAAAAACACGTGGGAAGAGATGGGCAGTGCCCCAATTATTACCTTGGACTGATGATGTGGAGAGCGATCAGTCTCCCCCATGAAGAATGA